ATTGAATCATCCCCATTTAAATGGACTGATAAATGCAGTACAGTGAGCTCCTTCACTTAAATCGACCATCAGCAATGCCTCGCTTTTTCTTCCCTCTTTCTCCCACTTAAAATAAGAACAAGGATGTGTCAAATCCTAGAAAGCAACTCTAATTTGGAATAGGAAACTTATCTGCCAGTCCTTCTATTTCTTAATGCTTTTCCCTCCTTCTGCCAACACACTAGAAGAACAGAGAATTCTATGTCTGCTTTCATGGACATCTTCACATTCAAAAGATCACCTCTGCTGATACCCAGCAGGACAACATATGATAAAGTTTGAATCCCCCTTCAGCACAAACAGTTTCGTTCTCAGCAATGTGGTATAAAGGCAAAAGGATGTTTGTGAGTAAGGCTTAAACTTTCCAAGAAATTAGAACTTTCCATAAAGAGTGTTTATAACTGCACACAGCCAAGGAAATGTGCCCTCCTATTCATATTTCAACTGTGTCTTTAAAGATGTTTCAGGGAGAGTGATATAGAACAGCTGGCAAAAAAAAGTATATATTTCTAAGTAAATTATTTGAATATCAGTGCAGTGATGTTGAAATAGCACAGAGGAATGCAAATCATATATTTATTCCTGACTAAAAATATAAGTCCTATAGCCACACTACAGCACTTCTCCTCAGGTTATACCGATATAGTTAGGATATAAATTTCTCAATGATTCTTTTTCCTTTTATTCTACAGCAAAGAGGAAATGCATACATGTACTTATACTTAAAAAAAAAAAATTACAAGACTTTTTTCTCTGAAACATATTGGTCAAGGATCCATGAATACCCAATTTGCTGGCAAGTGGTGCAAGTTACTTTGTCAAAGTGCCTAGCAATGCCAATCTGTCAGTTCAAAGCAGAAATAGAGTATTTTAGCTTTTAGTTACAATAAGCTATGCTGATAGACCTTGTAACAGGGAAGGTAACAGCCAGTCTTTAAATCTGAATTGACATTGATTTACAGTTTCATTTCTTTGAATGAAATCAGAGAAAGATCAAGTTTCAAGATACTTCACTTCTTGAAATTACAATTACACATTTCTTAAACACGGAAGGGTTTACTTTAAAAAAAAGAAAAAATAAAGTCTCAACTGCCTACAGAGGTAAGATAAAAGGAAAAAGTGATGTTAAAGAATATATCAAAGTAGTTTTTGTTTATTCATATTTTTTAATTCTACTTTTCCCCTCCATAAATTTTTAAAACCTCCTTGATTTGAAATCCTAATAATAAATATGCCACGCAACATTCCTCCTGTCAAATCTCTCTCATCCTGGTATTACTGCAATATTTGTAACTTTTGATCTGGAAACATCAAGTTACGTAAGATCATAGTTCTGCTTCTTGCAAAGACGTGATTCTGTCAGAAAATGAACCATTGAAGTGGGAACTCGACAGAACTGGAAATGACTTTCCCAGGGAAAAGGTAGTTTTGCTTAAGTATCACAGCTATTTTAAAGTGCAAGAACTCAACTATCTGTTCTCCTAAGCAGAGAAATGGTAAACTACCAGGTTAAAAATAATCAGAGTAGGCTCTTAATTGGAATAGTGTACATGTTGTAGAGAGAAAGAAATAACATTTAGTTATTATACACTCCAGGAAATCAATTAAATAAAATAAAAGCAAAAAAATTCTCACTTTGTAAAACAAAAGAGAACAGCATTTCCCCTTGCCTGTGTACTATCTGCTCACCAAAATGATAGGAAAGCATCTAATTTAAATGAGTCAAGGCAAATAATTAAGCTACAAGGACTCAAAAGATGCAGTGTCTTCTCAGCCCAAATCTCACTGCTTCCCCAGACCCACGGAAATCAGAGAGATGTCTCTCTTTTTCCGTCCATGTAGTAAAATAAATTGGAAGGGAGGGAGAGGGGCTACCTCCTCCGCCAACCAAAACCATACGAGCAGCTTTACTCTCATCTCTCCATAATTTTTCCCTATCCTTTAAAATCAGAGGAGGCAAATCCTCCCCACAAAAGCCTTTTTTAAACCGAGACCCCTTGCTAATAAGAACAGGAAACTATGAAGTTAACTTATGCATCTTCTTTTGCCTTTTCCCCCTTTTCCTGCCAAAGAGCAGCCTGAGGACCTCTTTCTGCACCAAAACATGACATTTCTTCTCCAGATCACACACATAAATGACAGATACATTGAAAATCTCCCCTTGTGAAGATGTGTACACATGCATGCACGTATGGACAGGAAGGGAAGGTGAGGCACAGAGGCAGAGTCCCTGCAGGGATATATTGCATCTCAGTGCAGTGGCAGTAATTCCCAGTCTTGGTGGGGTTTTTTTTGTTTGTTTTGTTTTGTTTTGTTTTGAGGGGAAAAGGGGAAAAAACCTGAAACAGGTTGTCTGCAAAGGCACCTCCCCTCCTCCCCTGCCCCAGTTGTTTGTGCAGAGCCCCTTCCCAGGGTGGTGCAGAGCAATGACCCCGCTCTCTCGAGAGAAGAACAACACAGGTTACATTTTCACGTGCCCGGGAAAAGCCTGGCCACACACCGCGACCTGAGAGTCCCCTCCCTACCCCCAGACCTGCTGCAAACCAGCACAGACCCTAATTTTCCTTGCCCATGTACTGGCTTGGGGATCACATTCTCAACGGATCATGGCAGCAGAGAATCTGACTGTCCACAAACCAGCCCACTCCAGCAAGGAGTGATCCAGCAGCGTGGCAGAGTCTGGGAGCTGGGAATTTCACAGGGAAGGGCAGCTCACGATGACCACAAACCAGCAAATTCCTACGGCCTTATAAACACAGGCAGAGCCAATCGAGCTGCTGTGAAGTCTTGTTTCACTGCAAAACAGTGCAAGAGATGCGTCTTCCTCCCTCTATGCCCCCCCAATGCTGAATATATACACACGAACACATATACTCCTTGTTTTTTCCACCCAAGCCTATAAAAGTACTACAGGCTGAGGCACTAAGTGGGAGGTGCCTGGCTCTGAAAAGGCCAATGAAATAAATTAAATACAAATCACTGGCTCAGCCCCAGCCTCCCCCAGCTATCAGGGGAGAGGTTGGGGTTCCCAATGGCCGATCCTCAGCTCTTAGCAGACCCAGAGTGAGGGTGGCATATGCAGGCTGCTGGCATAGTATAGGTGTATACGTTAAGCCTTTGGTTTTGCAGGCACATATGGTGCACATGTTGGGAGCAGAGCACTTTCCATAGGAGGGGAGGGGCTACCCTTCTAGTAGGCAATTTTATTAGGGTCAGCGAAGCAGAAAGAAATGGGATTGGGATAGGCTGGGAGCTGCCAAGTTTTCCTGCCCAACTCGGCGCCCCAGAGCAGGGAGCAGCACACTAACAACTTGCAAGGCTACAGCAGAAGTTTACCAATATAAAGCACACAGACAAGTTCCAACTTCAAAGCTTTGCTCTCATTTTCTCATTTTATGGCCCTCCTGTCACCTAGGACTTTTTTCAGGGGAAAAAAAAAATTCAGCTATAAATTCAAGGTGAGACTTCACTGCAAAAAGGAGGAAAATGGAGTGGAGGTGGAGAGATTAATTTTTAGCTTGATTCAAAGTTGTGTTGTTTTGCCTTTTTTAATTATCATTTTTAAATCAAAAATAATTGAACTTTCCAGGAAAAGCCATGAGCAAATACATTCAAGATGCAAAAAGGTTTTGTCTGTCTATTCAATAAGCATTTATTCATCTCTGTTTTGGCTGTATGAAAAAATGTATTTCGAACTGTGTATCCCGTAAAACAAGACTGTGGCGTAAATATGTTTTTTGGTTTTATTTGGACTTTTCTGGGGGGTTGTTTTGTTTTTTTTTCTCAAATCATGTGCTTACATGGTTGTAACCGCTGTGAATTTCTAAGCGTGGTCATGGTAAGAAGATAAATACATACTGCCTTGTAAATACTTTAAGAGTTTGGGGGTTTTAATTATTATTTTTTTAAAGATTTGGCATTCCTTAACTACTACCTATTTACATGTAAAAGAGCTCAGATATTTTATAGTAAGAAAAGATCTATATTTTTAATCAAAACAACTCCCAAGAAATAAATGCCCTTTGGTAGCATCCTGGTTTTATGTTCAAAAGCCAAAATTTGTATTTGAGAATGCAAACTACTGAGAATAGAAGCGGGAGTCTGAACAACTGCATTACTCCCAGTCACTCCAGCATCTTTTCCCCAACATCACACTATTTGGGGGAGCTTTTAAATCTAGCAGGGCATGGCTGGAAGCAAGTCTTTAACATTTAATGCCCAAGAAACAGACTTGTCACTCAACTTGCAGTCAAGCGCATTTCTTTTTTTCTGTTTTTTGTTCGAGGCAAACCCACCTTTCCTTGGAAAATGGGAGACCCCATCCCCATCCCTGACTCTAGCACAGATCCAAATGTAAACATACACACACACTCCCACTACGCACCACCCTGCAGCAGGACATGGGCATGGGGGTTTCAGGCAGAGTGAAAGGTACCTTGTGAGCTGAGAAATATCAAGGTACTTTTTTTTAATTTTTTTTTCCTCCCCTCTCCTCCCCGTTTTTACTATTACATAAATAACATCGATTGATCTTAAAGCTGCATCCTTGCCTCCCAATCTGCACTGCCTTCCTCCAGCACAGCCGCACCGCTCGGGGTGCAGAGGGAAGGGTCGGGGAGGGGGAAGGTTGGATGGGAGAATCCACTCCAAACATACCCTGAAGCAAGGTTTTGGCAGTCTGGGGGTGCCTGATCCGCCTCCCCGCCCCCCCTTCCCTCCAGCCCGGAGCCTCCCGCAGCATCTTTGCCTCCCCGAATTGCTGCAAACTGTGCGAGGGAGGGCAGGGAGCTGGGCAGCAGGCATGGATGGATGCTGGGGAGGGAAAACCAAGGATTCAAGGAGCTTCTCCCCAGCCTCAATCCGTGTGCACGGCTGTTTAGTGGGAAGAGGAAAGGGGGAAGGGAAAACTGGAGGGAGCCGATGTCATAAATACACTTTTCACAGGAAAAAGCGAAGCTTACCATGTCTGCAGCTTCCCCCCACCGAAATGCCACTTCTGTGTCCAGCGATCCAAAAGTGGAAACTACAGGCAGGCACCGGAGCTCATCTCCGCAGGCAGATCGGAGATACACCTCTGCCACCCCCAAAAATCAAAATCAAAATAAATTAAAAAAAAACCCAAAAACAAAACCCCAAAAAACAAACCCAAACAAAACAACGACTGGTCCAGCTTCTTTCCTGGCAGGAATCGTCCTGGTAGGACTGCCCAAAATAAGCAGCTGCAATCCAAAGGCTTTATTTAAAGCTTCCCCCCCTCCTCCTCCTCCTCTCCGTGCCTCGCTCGCTCTCTCCCTCTCGCTGTTACACACAGAGAGAAAGAGAGACACACACAGGTTACATGAATGGGAGGCAGGAGCCGGCGCTCCCGGCTGGAATGACAGGCGCACATGCGGCTGGCGGCTGCCCACCCCGGCGGCGTGGGAACTGCTCGGACACGGCGTGTGGATACGTGGAAAGGGGCATTGGGTGGGAACGGGCATGGGGTGGCATGGACATGGGGAGGAGATGAGAATGGGCATGGACGTGGCATAGGCATGGGGCCGGAGAGGACATAGAAATTGGTGTGGCATGGACATGGGGAGGAGATGAGAATGGGCATGGACGTGGCATAGGCATGGGGCCGGAGAGGACATAGAAATTGGTGTGGCATGGACATGGAGAGGAGGAGTGGGACACGGGCATGGGCATGGCACGAGCATATCATGGGTGTGTCATAAACAAGGGGCAGAGGAAAATATAGACATGGACATGAGCATGAAATGATCATGGAATAGGCATGGGCCAGGGGTGTACATAGACATGGACATGGCATGGGCATCAGGAAGATGTATGCATTGGTATGAGATAGGAATAGGCACTGACATGGGCGTGACACAGTCCTGGCATAGGCATGGATCAGAGGAGGACACAGACATGGGCATGGCATGGACATTGGAAGGAGCAGGGCACAGGCGTGGCATGAGCATGAAGGGGAGTTGGGCATGCACGTGGGCATGCAGAGCAGATGGGCACAGAATACATGTGGATATAACACGGGCATGGGGAAGAGATGCATATGGCCTGGGCATGGTGGGGTAATGGACATAGGCATGACATGGAGACCGGATGGACAGGGGTATGAGGAGGGAGTGGGCATGACATTGACAGGTACAGATGTATGGGCTTGGTGATGAGATGGACTGAGTGTGGACATAAGAATTAGAAGGTAATAGGTAGGAGAGAGAATGTTCTTGGGTATATGACAAGCATGGGTTGGGTTTGGGCATGGAATAGGCATGGGGATGACTTGGAATGGCATTGGCTTCAGCATGTGGATGGGATGGGGATCCGGGTGGGCACAAGAATAGGAAGGAGAGCCGACTCAGGTGGTGCCTTCATGTCCTGGCCCTGGTGAACCTCCCTCTCTTCTTGTAGTCAGGTGGTCTCCAGCTTCAGCACATGTATATGAGTTGCGGGAAACCTCTGTTCCTCCCTTGCCCCTTATCCCTAGTTAGGCAGCTTGCATAATATATTGCTTTTGGGGTCAGGGATCATTATCCACAGTGGTGTCAGGAGATGCCATTATTATCATTATTAGTTATTATTATTATTATTACTATTATAGCTTAATTTTGTTTTATGAATTTGTGTTGTTTGATAATTAAAAACAAATTCTCAGGAAGAAGGCCTGCAAGATTTCAGTTGTGTAATTTGAGGTTAATTGTTCTTTAGGGGGAAGATCAGTCCTGCCAGTTTCTGCCTTCTAAATATTTGTGAGAGGCTTGTTTTGGTTTTATTTGGTTTGGTTTGGTTTTAAACAGTAGTGACAGGAAATTATGGCTATTTGATGCTGCTATTCAACACCGTCTGAAGCAAGAAAGGGTTGTGGTGTTGCTAAGTGTCAGGCCCTGCTACTGCTTCTCTACCTGACCTTGGGCAAGTCCTCGATAACTTGTCCCTGCCAGGATACATCACCCATTGCAATTTACACTCAGCCATCATTTTCTCATTCACCAAATAATCACATTTTTCTCTTTCAAGTCAGTCCTCAAAATTTATTCTTACAAAACTTTTCAGCAACGGTCTTTGCATGGTTTGTGTTGGCATCACAAATCTTGGAGTGATACTGGATTCAGCCCTACAACTGCATTGTAAGAAGAGTGCTGAACATAATGGACTGCAGTACTCCATGCAGTGCTTTGAGCTACATGGGAATTATCCTCTTGATGGCATATCTTTAAATCAGCCAGGTGCAAGTCTATGTTCTGCCTTTTTCTCCTGTCCCAAAATTTCCAGCCTTTCTGGAAAGCAAGATGTAAGATATATGTTTTATTCCAAACCCAGAAATCAGACTAAAAAGGCACACAGCAAATCAGAACATCATCTTGAAACAGCAGAGTCCTCCACATAAAGGTCTGCTTAGCAAAATAGCTGCTGCTGTTCACTATTTTTTCAGTCATACATATTAAAAATGAAATATATTTGCATTGGCTTTATTACCTCTGGAATATATTCCACATCAGGATTTTAGACTCTAGACAAAGGTAATTTAGGTCTCTGGATGGAAAAAGTTTAGCTGAGAAAAATATATATATTGTTAGTAATAGACCTTATCCAAATTCAATGGTAATTGTATAAGCCTTTCAAAAAGCATACAGTATGCAAGCTTCCAAGATTTCGGAACAAGAAACATTTCCATTTAAATGCCAAGAAGCAATTTTTCCTCTCTTGTTCAATACTAAATCAGTCACATGAGCAGTTTGCATTTGATTTTAGAAAGGAAATGGAACATCTTCTCTTCCAATTACATAGAACTTTTTCTTGTTCTTAGTGCTCTTACTGTTTGCATTACTTTCCTTTACTGTTTGCAACACTTTCGTTCAATCCACCCATTTTCTCCAGCCATTTATTTCTTTATTTTTTTAAACTCCAGTGACATTATTAAGAGAAAATCAGTAAACCCAAGTGGGGAGCAGAATGCTGTTTGTTTGAATTCTGGCTGGTAAATTCAAGTTTAACAGGTCAGCACTGTTTGTCTAATTGGCCTTTCTCTGTTAACTGAACTAGATAATGACGCTCCTGGAAAAAAACCCAATAGTAATTTAATGGGAAAAAGTGACTTTGCTTTGGAAAATCCCCCTCCTGCTTCAATTCACAATGAATTCCTGTGGTCACAGAAGTGTGCTGCATACCAATTTGGAGTATATTTTATGAAGATGTACATTCAAAATGTCAGTGTTCAGCAGCCTGCCATGTTGTGCCTGTGTCCTGCACCCCTGCAACTTTGCCCTTTGCTCCTTGTGAACAGCGACTATTAAGTCAAAGTCTCTCCTAAGTAGTGTTTTTGCAGAGTTTGTAAAGGAGCTACATCTGTGAAACAAGAAGGTGAATGACAAGACTAATGCATGAGCCTGTTAGACCTTGTGCACCAAGAGAGCAAGGACATCAAGTCCTGGAGCTGCCGCTCAAATTAGCACTTAATGGTCCTGATGCCAGGCTGTGTTTCCATGTTGACATTTGCTCCAACAAAACAATGAAAACACCTTTTGTAAAGTCCCTGTTCACCAAGCAAAAAAAGTAGCAACATGGTGTGGTTAAAGGTTTCTCGCTGACCAAGTTCAGCAGGAGTTGGTTTGATGAGCCCTTTGCTAAGAGGGGCTGCACTACTTGACAGACACTACTAAAGATTTTATTTTTTTTTTCTACTTCTAGGAGAATAATCCAGAGGGAAAAACTCATATATTTTAATCAATGGAAGTGAAACCATTTGCCTTTCAGAGACTATAAAATAATACACACCCCAGGGTTCAATGCTCTTTTCTACTCCTCCAGAACATTCTTAAGGGGAAATCACTCTTTTCTTGATGAATGTGCAATTCAAATGTGGAAATATGCCATTCTTCATGCTTTCTCCATAGGGAGCAAAATGATTTCTGTAATTAAACCTTTTTTTGCCAACATTTCCTGATGAGAATTTTATTTTTTTTTAAATACAAGGGGAAAAGCCATATAAAAACGGGTTTGCAAAACTAGGTCCAGAGTGTTCGACCTTTAAGCTTCTATTTGAATTAGTCATTTTGGTTTAAAGGTGCATGAGGATGAGGATGAAGAACATGAGTAAGGACTGCAGCATAAATTTCTAATCAGGCACAGCTGAAAAGAAATGGCTGCAGGAGAAAGAAAGATATGGGTACCACTGCTAATGTTAGTCTAGCTATTAGGGATGACATTAGCACTGAAAACATGCAGCCCAGTGTTCAACACACTTTAGCAGCCCCAAGCGTATAACCAGGGTCCCTGTTGGGATCATGCTGAAATCTGTGCTACAGCATCAGTGCTGCACTGGTTCCCATGGTAGCTAGATCAAAGAAATCCAGCTTCTCTGATACACATAAGGCTGTGAGGAGCAGTGTAGACAGAATTAGAGTCAATTAAGAAAAACATCTGTGTGAACTTTTGTAGGGCTTGGACCTGAAGTCCACACCGTGTTGCTCATAATTGTTGCCATGTAATACACAGAGATCAGGGGGACAGAGCTTTTAGCCACTTAACAGAGTTGTGGGGTAGAACCCCATTTCTGTAAGACAGATGGCAGGGCTGAACCAGAGCTGGATGCAGAGCTGAGTCCTGAAGTTCTCAGTCTGAGTTACGTCTCTGACAAAGCTCTTGAGCAGGGTGGTGGAGCAGAAATCAGGTACTCTTTATAAAAAGCAGGATTTCCCTCCTCTTACTCCTCACTGCATGGATGGCTGTAGCTAAATCTGTCTGCATTGACTCAGAGAGATGTCTCCATTACTGGTATCATGAGATTAACTCCAGATTGGGGATGGAGAAGTGTTATCATATATTGAATCATAGAATCATTAAGGTTGGAAAAGACCCACCATAAACACAGCACTGCCAAGCCCACCACTAAACCATGTCCCCGAGTGCCACATCCACATGTCTTTTGAACATTTTCAGGGATGGTCATTCCACCCTGGGCAGCCTGTTTCAGTATCTGACCATCCTGTCAGGGAAGAAGTTTTTCCTAATACCTAATCTAAACCTCTCCTGGCACAACTTGAGGCCATTTCCTCTCATCCTGGAGGTTCTTTATTTTTGTAAGGGTCTTTCCTTTCATTATCTTTATTATTTTCAGCAGGATGCTAAAGGCTGGAGAAGGTCATTCTGTGTGGACAGTGCCTTTTGTAGCATCTCAGTGGATCTTAGGACTTAAGGAGAACAGAACTCAGCATCTACCCACAGTACTGGGTCTTATACCCTTCCTTTCCTTGCTTGTGAAGCAACGTCTGTTGTCATACCTGAGAAACCAGCCAAGGCATCGATGGAGATGAGAGTCTGCTCCTACTGC